ACATTACCACGGGTTTGGACAAAAGACGGGCACAGTTCTAAATTAGCCACTTTCGTTGCGCACAACCGTAAAAAAAAAAAAAAAAAACAGCGATGTCGTCCTTTTTAGCGGTGGCCTGCGAGAAATTGTTCAGGAAAAGTACCCCTCAGGGGAACCTCTTCAACCCTATTGGGGATGCAAGCACTCCCGCGTACAGATGGTTTGCGCCGGCGACGGTGTATGTGCGTGTTTGTGGTGAGAAGCGATCGTCTGCTGGCGGGGCCGCCGGGGACGAAAAGGAACGCCACGCCGTCATACCCCTGGAAAAGCATTCGCTGCACACACCAAACCGTACAAAAACATACACCCACACACACATTCTGCAACATCTGTTTATCCCCCCCCACTGTGATTCCTCTCCCAATCTCCGAAGACGCTTCCGAAGAACATACTGCTAAAATAAAGTAATGGCCGGTTTGGCTGGCTTTGCTTCCACCCCCCCTTGTAGACTTGAATGCAAGGCCCGTACCCGGCCCGGGCCCCTCATGAATGTATAGCCGTGAAGCCCGAGCCCGGCCCGTGGCCCGCGCTCTGGCCGGTACCAGTGCAGATCTCTACCTGCGACGCTGACCGCTCGCCCCTCTGTCAGGACTGGGCAGACAGCGCTACCTCCCGGCGGGCGACGGAGTTAGCGCAATTACACTCTTCGGCTGGGGAGGAACTCGAATGGGACGGCTGGAGAAGCCTTCGCGGGCGCGCTTCGGGATCTCGGAGGCCATGTATCTACAATGAGCGCTCCACGACTACCCGATAGATGGCGCCAGTGATTACTCTTGTCGTAAGAGATTAAAAAAAAAAGTATCAAGGCCCACAGTCGTAAGCCGTTGCAAGTGTGTGAACTTGCCTTTGGAAATCTTACCGAGTTGCTTTTCCGCTCAATTTTAGGCATTTCGGAATTCTACTGAAATCTCGCGGAAAACGAGCGAATGGAAATGTTTATTCCGGTAAACCGCAGTCCTTACTCATCTGAAAGCGCTCCGCCCCTGTGGCCCACGGCCTCGGCTCGGCCGTAAGCACCTGTGCCTCGGTCGTAAAATTGTAATTACGGACCCTCGCTACCAATACATCGTCGTGAAAGAGGAATTGTCAAAAGAGGTATTTTGCGAGTAAAGCTGCATCAAACGACCAGGCATTTGTCGACAACGACCATAGGGGGAACGGCGAGTTTTCAGTTTTGCTTCGTGCACGTCCGCCTTCTGTGCGTTTGATGGGTTTTGCGCGGGGAGGGTTCGGGGATGGTCCTGCACGGGGATTGCGTGTTGCAGCGCACGCCAGGATTTTGCTCATCTACAAATCACAGTTCTATTTCTGTTAAAGCTTTTTCCTACGAATGTCCCATCCTTGTTCCTCAAGCTCGCTAAGCGTTTAGTTATGCTGCTTTTCGTCCGTGGGCGCCAGTCTATTCTAGGTCTTTGCAGCATTCGCTGCATAGATTTTGAACACAAACTGTTCGACTAGGCTACGGTCAGGGTATTACCTTTTTTTTTTCTTTTTTTTTGATATCGGAGTTTCAGCGCGTTTAGCGGTTCTGTAGACGTTGATCATTTTGTGTTGGTTAAGTGGAATTTTCAGGTGCACGCTGATGGAATTCCTACCTCCGTCTTTGTGCGTTCATGTAAAAATAGAGTACTTTGTGTCCAGAATGTTTCCAAAGTTTTTGCTTGACTTTGAGGGACGACCAAGAACTGCTGCTTGGGGGTATTAGTCTAATAAAAAAAAAAGAAATAGCAAAAAGTTTCTGATGTTGGTATATGGTAAAAAAAATTTTGCTTTGATTATGCATGCAGTAAAAAATTTTCTTCCCTTTGATACCTATCCCCTAACAAATATTTGACATAAAATCCAAATGACGTTCAGCTAGACACCCTGGTCGAGTAATAGAGTGCATTACAGCACCACTGGTCACCACGGTTTGCAAATCATTTTCCAAGTTGTTTTCTTTTTCGTTGCCTCAGTGCCGAAAATAAGTTCGTTGTGTGCGTGTTCAGTCAACGCGAAGTTGATAGCCCCAATGGGTGACTACTGTCCCCGGCGTATATCAGTCATTTAGCCAGTGCAATACCTCTGCTAGTCTGGGGTCGCTAACATACGTCGTGCCAAACCCGACGGCAGGATGGTGGGATCCTCATCCAGGAGTTCGACGTAACATGTACAGAGTATGACATATATGTCATTCTTTGTGCTGCGAAATACACGCCACTTGCATGTTTTTGTAGCGGAGCCCCGACAGCTGGCTCGCGAAACGAGGGACGATGTCACGACGTCGTGACCAATCAAAGATAGCAGGGCACCTTCGGCGGACCTCCTTGCACCCTTCATAAAGGAAGTGCAAAATCGCTTTACCTTTGTGTGTTTTAGCAACTTAAAATGAAGTAACTTTGAGTTTTTTTTTTTTTTTCTCGAAGAAAAAAGGTTACTTTAAAGGGATGTCATAAAAGTTTGACGTTCATTTAAATAACCATATGTGGCCGCCTCCTCGAGTGTGCCTCGCGGGTTGTCATACTTTTTCCGGCTTTGCAGCGCATCCAGCGGTGGCGTGCGTCGGCGGTCACTAACACGTCCAATTTTATTGCGATATTTGGATTGTGGTGAAGCAAAATGAAACAACAAAAAACATTAACTACAGACAGCCCTCCGTAGAGGCCTTTTTTTTTCTTCAAAAGTGTTCTAGCATTTCTATGATTTGGTGACATTTATATCTTTATCGATAATTTTTCCTTTAAAAGGCGCACGAAAGAGTTTTCTTTACTTTAAGTGCAGTTCTATCACTTGAACTTGATACACCCGCTTGGCGTAGTCTAAAAATCACAAGGGCAGCTCTCTGAAAATATTCACGCGTATTCTACCCGTCGTGCAGAATGTTGGGAGGTGGTCACTGCAAGAACGAACTATGGCACAGAAATGCACAAACATACTATCCCAAGAATACTTAGCTTACTTGAAGATAAAGGATTAGAATTCAGTGCATTGTCCCTTAGAGAAATTAGACTAATTTTCTCCACAAATGAATCTGAGTATGAATTACGCGTTTGGGGTCTTATAACTTCTGTCTGCGAATAGGTCACTTTTCTGTTATAGCCGATGATAAAATATATAATCTGGAACACGCTTTGTTAAATTGCGGTAATCAAAATTTGTGAATGTTTTTTTTTGTTTTAGTTTTTTTTAGTTGCTGCTACTGTGCCTTGTAGGCGGTCAAGGACTTGTCAAGCTGTGCCATACAGCTTTTTTACTTGATCGCCACCATCAACGTTTGATGGAAATAAACTCAATATTATTATTATTATTATTATTATTATTATTATTATTATTATTATTATTATTATTATTATTATTATTATTATTAAGTTATCAGTATGCTCGCCCGCTTCTACAATAAAGGAGCGAACGAAAACCGTAGTGCTCAATATTAAAAAAAAAAATAAATGTGAGATGGTCATTTTTTATCACTTGTAGTTTTAAATTCATAGAATGTTTAGGGCCAGCCTGTAGGATTTTGTGTCCGCGCCTTGCAGCGCCATGAAGTCAAAGTATCACTAGGCATTATGACGTCACGTCTGACTATGATGTCACGTGATACTGTGACGCCGCGTGACTTCGTGAGTCATTTGAATTCATTACCTAGGGCTGCATCCTTATCTCACATGGCTTTATGTCGTCACGTGACTTTTTAGTGTGAGATGATTAAATGTCGTCTTACTATGCAGGATAAATGACTGTATTTAAGGTGTTGCAGAGGTTGGCCTGTCGAAATGTCTGCCTCGGGAGCTGGCTAGTGGTCCTCTTCCGCTCGTCGTTTTTTCCTCCATCAAAATATATTCACCAAACCCTCGCATTGTGTCCTTGAGTGGCCACTTACTGTGCCTCTAAAATGCGCACCGCGAAGAGGGTGTTGCTGTTAGTTCTGTACGTTCTGTACGTTTAGTGAACCTTTGGTAAATGCCGGAGACAGTCAATTTTCTAGACTTGGTGAAGCAACTGGATAGAGTTAGAGCTGTCTAAAAAAATGGTGTGAAACATTTGAGTCCCACTTGACTGCACGTTCTCTTGCTCCTCTCAACGTAAAAATGAGTATCAAGGTTTTTGAAATGGGAAGTTTGGCCGGCGCTACGTGAACGGCGTTGTGTAGTAGCAGCGCCTGGGTGGCCATTTTAATGTAACGTCAAACACCGCAGGCATATTAGACGTTCACTGGGATGCCAAGGACCTAAAGTAAGGTGAAGGTGAGGAAAGTGCTTGAACACTAAACGATTGCACAAAGGCATGACATGACACACACACACACACAAAGCTTATGTGTGTCGTGTCCTCTGTGTAATGGTGTAGTGTTCAAGTTGTTTCCTCACCCTTCATTACACGTACAAACTAGCCCAACTCAAACCGGAAAGGTGAAGGTTGTCTTGAATTTGTTGGTGGTAGTCATGACGTAATTACATGTAGTTAATCTGCCGTCGTTTTGCCTTTTATTTGTAGGGAGGGGTATGGCGATACGTACCACTTAGATACAAAATCGTAATGCTGAATTTTTTCCAGATTAGACACGGGTGCAGTGTCAACGTTCAGCCGGGATTCGTGTTCTTATTTATTTGAACTCAGGTTCCGGCCGAATTCCGACGTAGCACTCCTGTCCAATTTGTTACCGGCGCTGGCCCACAACGCTGACATGGAAAATTCAGCACACTCTCTTTCTATCTAAATGAAGTCGGGTATTGGCTCTCCGATTCCTTGAACCATTCAGTGTAACGGTATACTTTTTTGATTATTGTGTAGGTTATTATATTTTAATTGAATTTTCGATATGGCAAGAAAAAGCTGAAAGCACCGAGATTTACGCTGCCATGATTATAGAAAGACCGATACAGACAGTAACAATTGTGCTGAAAATGTTTAAACAATACGAAACAATTGATTGAAACTCGCATTACGAGACCTGACTCTGGCTGAACTTATGTGATTTCTAGGCCCCGTGTGTCAGACAGAGGCATCCCAGTTGCATCGACGAAGGAGAATCGTCGGAGGGAGGAGCGCTGAACCGGATGACTTTGGTTACATGGTTGGTGCGGTTTGATTTTTTTCTTTCACTTCGAAGCATTGTTTTACGTCATTACGTGAATTTACGGACCTGAGTAAACGTGTTTGCAAGTCTTTCTTCAGAAGAATGAATGGAACTGAATGTCCCATATATATAAAGAAACAGGTTTTAAATATGAAATGGCTCGTACAGCACATTGAACCAGAAATTTGCAACAGCAGGTGTGACCCCCCAATCCGCGAGAGGAACGGCGTAACTACACCAATAACTAAAAAAATTAATATATATTTTCCGCCCTAGAAACAAAAACTTTTTTCTGCCAGTGCAACTTATTTTTTTTTCTTCATTGGCGATAGCGAGAAGCAAACAACCATCTGCCTAATGAGCAACGCGCCAGGGCGGTGTAGCTTTGTCTAAAGCCCCTCTATCCTGAGAAAAGTGGCGTCATTCACTGTTGTGGAAATCCTCGAGGCATGTGCCACGCGCCACTTCTGGGAAGAGCATGGCATCTGAAATCTAGCTCAGGGCTGTGCTGTGCCGCCATGATCTTCCCAAGGGCTGCACATTGCACGCGCCTCGTGCATCGACGCACCTTGTGATACTTTTGAAACATAAAGAAGCTTTACCGTTGTCTCCTATGCGGGGAGTTTATCTTCCAGTTTGTGCTTAATAACAGACTGTTCGGAACTCCAGAAGAGGGGACGTCCTCCAGCGTCAAAGACGTGATTTTTAGGCACGTTGACCTCGTCACGTCCGGCCAAAACATTTACTCGCTACTGAGTCAATTCCTTCGTAAAATAATAAAAAAACTATTTGGAACATGATTAGATAATATACTGTTTTGATTCTAATGATTATGGAATTAATCATTTGTGTCATCTTCCTTAAATGTGCAAAACAGCTACAAAGTCTTCTTTTTTTAGCAAATTCTATACTCTGTTTCACCTTATGATGTACCGCAAGAAAGGCTACTAGCACGAGCTTCTTGCTCCAGGGCAGATCTCGGTGGACAAGCTCTCATGCGTTAAAGGGATGCTGAACCGAACTCTGGATTCCACAAAACACGGCGGAAAAAGCGTGCCACGAGATGCTACAAACAAAAACATCACTCATACAGTGATATCTCGAACGGATGACCGTATTTTTCAAAAAAAAAAGAGCAGGCGCATTTGACAGATATGTTTACGTCCTGTTTCTCCGAGAAGGAGAGGCAACGGCCTCGCGTCTTCTCCGCCTCGCCGCCTTGAGGGGGCGAAGTGAAGAGAGGAGGAAACGAGATACCTTGACGTCACGCGCCTCGTCGGCCTCGTTCAATCTTGACCTTTTTTTCCAAAAATGCGGCCGTCCATTCGAGATATCACCTTACGAGTAGTATTGTAGGGATAGTAGCGTCCCCCCTACATCTCCTGCATTTTTTTATTTTTTCGTTAAATACCAATTTCAGTTCACCATCCCTTTAAGAGCGGCTCCCAACGCTATGTGCTCGCGCTTCTAGCCTTCTCTGCGTTACAACAAAAGGTGAAACGGAGTATAGAGTTTTAATCTTGTCTTAGAGATCTGTTCAAATTTAGTACGCAGGAATGTGCCCGAGCTTATTTTCATGTTTCTATCTCTATTTGTTTCACAATGGCGCGTACTTGCTATAAACTACGGGTGGTAGAGGCCTCAACCAAGCAAAATGACTTTTGTCTCTACCTTCCTACCGGTCCTGGCCCTTGAGGATCCAAATATACTTCAAACTTCAAAGCACTCGCGGCCGGGCGGCGGGAATGTGAAACGAAAACCGCACTATATACCGCTGCGACACGGTACAATGTAATGTCAGTTCCATCGGCTGACATTACTTGACTGGCAAATAAGCTCACGATTCTGACTACGAGCGTCGCACGTGCACTACGATGCGCCAAAGGTGGCGCGCGCTGATAGGACGATGACCCAAAGACAGTCAATGGAACTGACATTACATGTCTACCTTGCGGCTGTCTCCCTCCCTTAACAAATATTTTATTATGGTCAATACTAGTTTAGACAGTTTCCCTCCTTCAGTGTTTCGTGTTTTATAAACCCAGTACCCTTGGCCAATGTGGTCGTTTTGCTGACTGTGATAGGCTTCAGCTTTGTGTTCAAAAGCGGACCTTGAATTCGCGCGTGCCACCTGTTTAGAATCTTGAGACGCCTTAACGCTATACTTAGGAACGCGTCGCCGATGCCTGCGCAAGCTCAACTTGAAACACTTTCAATAAATGCGCGCTAATTTCTCAGTTGTAGTTTAACGCTGAGCTGTTGTTTAACACACTGCTCGCGGATCCCCCAAAAATACGCAGGGTTTGCTGCACACGCGATGACTGGATTATCTGCAGGTACACCTAGAGAATGTTATCAGCACGGTTGCTTTGAACCTGTGTAAACCTAATTGGAACATGACTTCAGACGGTTTCTGTATGACGAATGTGCCGGGACAGTCCTGCAAGGAAGAGATATGCCTTAGACATTAGAGAGTTTTAGGGAACCGTTTTTAGCACATCCGATACGGCACGGTGGGCCTTTCCTTACGGACTGCGCATGCAGGAGTCTTTTGCGGTAGCACGCGCGCAGTCCCGCATGCGCAATCCGTACCGTATCGGATGTGCAAAAGACGTTTCCCCAAAAACTCTCTACAGGCTGCAGACTGTGTTTTGTACGATTTATTAGCATGTGTGATCGCGGCTTTAGCAACTCGGTAAATGCGGCACGGACTGAGGGAAATTCTGAGTAGAAACAATCATGGGCACTTAAGAAGCTGGCACCCGCTGAATTTAAAGATCAAGTGACTACAGAGAAATCAAAGACGCTCGGCCGCAATGCTCTCTGTCATGGATTCGCCATCAATCTCTGAGGAGGGAACGATATCCCTCCTCAATGATTGTTTAGGGGAAAAATGTGTGCGACGGAGAGATTGACTGTGGGGAACAGGTGGGTATATTTTAAAATTATTAGGGACTTTACGTGTAATCTTAAACGGAATTTGTGTTATGCTTTCCTTGTGTTGCGTTCATCTGCTTCTTAGAATGAATGACTTCGTTCAATTTCCTCGGGTATTTTGTTTGTCAGAAGATTGGTGCCATTTTGTGTACTATAAATCATCCCCTTCTGCAATGGCCTTCAGGAAAAGGCCGATGGTAATAATAAATAAATTAAGAAATCTTGCCAGCGTTACGTGATGTACTGCAGTGGCCTCTATGTACAAACATAATTAAAATCCAGGTTGATGTACGTACTCTCTCTCGCGAGATGTTAAAGAAATAAAAGAAATCGGGTGCTTAAAACGTGTTATAAAAATGCCTAATGATTATATTCTAGTTCGGTCCCGAGAACAAACACCGGTTTGTTTGTACCAACGTGAAAACTGGAGCTCCTACAAGGCACGGGCGATCACCCAAAGAGCATCACTTGCTCACAAAAACGTGCTCTAGTGGTCCCTTGGTGACACTCAACTATAACTAATCTTCTTAATACGCCATTCATTGTTTGACACAATTATCAGCGATCTTTTTTTCTACTGTTTTTTAGTGTGGTGGGGCTGGTGTTTGTTATTCGATGTCAACAACTATGGGCCTTCTACCCAATGCGACGACTCTGTGGCACGAGACTACTTCTGTTGTTGTTTTTGCCAAAAGTTACCACTGGCTCAGTAGGTTCCTGTGCAGTTGAATAAACCGTCATATCGACGTTCCATTGCCAAACCCTTGGCAGCATTGGTCGATGAAAACGCCAAAACAGGAGGCAAGAAGTTTGAAACTACGCTGCCTGGAGCGTGTCTCCGACTGGTGTGCTTAGCGTCGTATCCCGCCCATACATCGGAAGTGGTTCCGAAGTGGCAACGAATGACGTCACAGAAACCGGAGTGTCAGGCTGTTGCATGTCGCCACCCTTGCCGCTGGTCGTAGAAATGCTGGTGAAAAGTACGAGCGAACGTGAGTGTCGCTGTCGTCACGGCAGTCCAGCTCCCGGCTGCGGAAGCTTCCGTGGACTGCCACATCGTAGCCTCCTCTATACTCACAAAACATGGTAGTTCGACGACGGAGCCATAGAGTGTCCGGTCGCAGATTTGGAGCGCGAGGAGCTGGTACCACAGAACATCCAACAGTCATTTCTAGGGGAACGTGGACGTCAGCGCTCAGATTTTGCAGCGGAGGGGACCCGAAACACACTTTCGGGTCCTCGCATCTCACCGCAGTGGTATGCCAGCCACGTGGCTCTCCTCATTTTGTTGTCTGCCGCTCCACCTTTTTTCATTTCGGCGGCCGCTTTTCGTGGCGATCTGACAGGCTTTGTCAGTATATACGAGGCTATGGTCACACTACAGACCTACCTGCAGCAGAACAGACGTCTGCTACATTCACCACAGGTGTTGGGACGCCGCCAGGATCGCGGTCGGCGACGTCACGGCACTTCTATGACGTCATCAAGTGGAAATTGAAGGACCGCATTTAATGAACGCGGTAAACACATCAATTGGGGAAGCGTTACAGGCACAATACGTGGACAATTTAAGTCACACCCTTCGTCTTCTACGCTGTCAATGACAACATGGTTGATATTTTGACGTAATGTGTGCTGTACGCGTTTCAATCGTTTCAACACGACCAATGTATGCTTTCTCAATGCTGGCTTCGGTCACGTCCTAGCTCTGTAGAGGGCGTGTTATCATGTGTGCCAGAGCGCCGCAGTTCCAGAAATGCTTTCTGGCTCTATTGCAGGTGAGCTTGCGAAAGTTTCTGACTGGGTATGCTTCCCCTTTCCCCTTTTGCGGAGGCGTCATGATCACCGACGTCCATGTCCTGACAGCTGCACACTGCCTGAATGAGTACGTAAAATATGCTATCTAGAATCTTCAACCCAGCTTCTAAGCGGGTTTCTTGAAATCACCACTCACCTCGATATAGGAAGCGGAACGTTGGCTTTTGCAGAAACAAACGACTCGTTTTGGGAATTCAAGTGAAGACATTCAAATAAAAAAAAAAGAGTAAACAAGTAAACCTCCAATGTCTTGTTTTGTTTTGCTGTCGAGCAGTGCAAGTATTGATATAATATTGCGTTATGATCTATTCACTAATTTACCACAATTTACTCACTCAACGAAGCGACTTAATCAGTAAAATATTTAGAGGATACTCTGCTTATGTGAGGATATCTGGAGTGGGTGATTTGGTGCTGATGCGTTGTGGATATCCAACTTAATATTGATCACATTTGGCTTCCTTGAGTTACAAGAAAAACAAGTCTTGCCAGATTCTGAAAACGTATACGTGCCACATAATTATGCGAGCAAAATGAAATGGCATTATTTTATTCACACTCCCACGAGGTCAAGTCAGTTGTCGATTTGGGTTCTGCGCCAGCCGTCTCTTCGGTTTAACCTGACAAGTTGTCCCTGACGTCAACTTTTCACCTGACTTGACGTAACAATTATGTGATGTACTTTTGTAAGATTGATAAATATTTCTGACTCAACGAAGATAAATTTAGCAAAGAATATTTCACTAAATGATTCTTTCGCAGTCACTTCAAGATCTCGGCTACGGGAAGAAATATAATTTGCTCTAAGTATTTCGGAATGTGTAGCTTTCTAGCCCCAAACTCTAAAAGTCATTGAGGTTCCACTATTTAAACCACAAAAGAAGGTTTACGGTTACCCTCCAAATTACATGTATCATACATGTAGGTTACATGTTGTTGTTATACTAGGTATATCATCCACACAGGCAGATAGCCGGACTTAATTCGGGCTCATTCGAGTCAGGGTTGAAAAAAACTGATCGCTATGACGAGGAGGAATAAAACAGAATACTAGCTGGTAAGCATCTGTTGTAAATAGGGCAGGCAGACACAAAGTAGCGTCAAACGAGGCCCTTATATATGGCAATGGAACGAGGTCATCAAAACGCTGGGAACTCTAGACGGCAAAAATTAAGCCAAGGCTAGCAAACCATTAGCGAGTTTTTTTGTTGTTTTTGTTTTTGTTTTAAATAATTTTTTACTCCTAGTTTGATGGACTAGTACATTTGGCAGGTTTTTCTCGCTTCCAAGAATTTAACAAACGCGTACACATATCGTATAGAAAGCTAGCACACATGAAGCCTGTTCTGCTCAGAGAAGTAAACTGGGCGCATTTTTCGTGCGCGGTATTTGTATTTCATAGGCATGAATACACTCGTCCGAATCGCCAATTCAGTTTCGTTTATACTTTTATATCGTGGAAAGCATCATGTGCTAATAATAAAAAAAGCCTATTGAACAAAGTACATTTAGTTTGTACTTTTTGGAGTATCTGTCAAATATTTAAGACAATTGGAACACCAGCACATTGCCTATTTCTGAAACGCAATCAATATGGGGCTCGAGCTCAAGATCGGATGAGAAAATTTATACACATCTTTGCGATTATAGCGCAAAATAATAATGTTGCTTTCGTTGTAAATGTTAGGGGGAATTATTTTTTTTTCATGTTACACGAATGCTTGAAATAGACCTGATGCACCGTAACGACTTTGACTAGGGGTACAAAGAAAACGAAGAGTGCGGAAGGCCAAATGTCAAAATGATATTCAGATTTGGCTTCGGTTGCGACTAGGAAAAAAAAACACGACGTTTAAAACAATATCTTCCTCGTTGTTTCTGAATGCGACCCTTGATAGACGAAGCATAATGTGACTGAGAAAGTGGGCTGGAAATGCAAAGAGAGATGAGCATGATGAAACGTCCATCGAACAAAACATTTGCCGCTGCTAGCAGGTGTCACACTCAATTGAGATTTCAACGAGGTAATGTTTTTTTTTGTTTTTTTTTTTCACGTTGTGGTTTATTTTAATTTACCACGAATACGCGCTCTGGGCGTCGACCTCTCGTACTCTCGTATTCTGGGTTTTGCTCCCTCCCACGCTATCATGCAACACAGGGAACAATACAAACAAGCGGCCCTTGAGCGAATGTCGGCTGCACACTTTTAGCTGAATTAAATGAGCACCAAAAAAAAATTAATGCTGCGAACGTGGGTAGACGTTCTCCACGCGCTTCCTTGTATTAAAGATTTGAAGTAAATAATAAAAATAAAGCGTCGGGAAACGCACGTACAGAGTTTGTTTTAGATTTTTTATATTTTATTTTTATTTTGACAGCTACTACTACAGACGCCAGCGCGCTCAGCGCGTGTACCTTCGTTCCCGGCATTCTCTTCGATGCTTGGGTAATTTGGCGAAATGACTAGTTGAACTATTCCGCAGCTGGAGCCACTACAAAAGCTACGAGCTCATACTTCTAGCATTTTCGCGTGGATGTCAAAGAAAGAGAAAAAAAATTGAGGTTTGAGTGTGGGCGGGTCGGTCATTCTCCATACCTTATCCGGCTAAAGACAAAGTAATATATCCCGCACGAAAAATTTGATGTTTGATTAAAGTTATTTTTTTTCCTGTTGATTCACAAATATTGTATCCGCCACGATGTAAATCTACACCTTCAGTTCACAATGATTTTATTTTCTATATTTGCGAGCCATTCTTGGGAGCCATTGATAAGCGCATTATGGAATGTGTAGTGAAGGCCCCAGCACGACTACTTTAAAAATACAAATTTTTCTCTCTATTTAAAACCGCAGACAAAATATTCATTAATCTTAATTAAACTAGCTTCTATGGCCCTATTGGAATAAGCGATCATAGTTATCTAGGCAGAAACTCTAAACTTACGAATGGGTGGGTGGTTCCCATTAGTTCCCAAACAATCTTGACTCATTAGCCGGGTCCAGAACTCTATTATGACTCAACAGAAGAATTAAAAGTAGGCTAAATAAAATTTTATGTTTTGTTCGTTTTAAGGGACGCTTAGCTACGGATAGATGAAGAACCATTAGACACAGCATAAAATATCTTTCGCGGTGCCTCCCCGTCGATATAATAATGCGTGGCCATCGACGATCCCAGTTTGTTCGACTGGCAAAGCGATCCTTTCGTTGTACATTATCACGTGTGCGCTCAAAAATCCAATTCGCTCATTACGCGTTGGTGCCATGCCCGTTTCCAGCAAGACCGAGTCCATGCTGTCGGCGAACGTGGCTGACTACAACTTCTCGTCGACGTCCGACCGCCAGAACGTGATTCGAGACGTGTCGAAGTTGTTGCAGCACGAGCAGTACGACAAGCCCTCGTACAAAAACGACGTGGCCCTGGTGACGCTGAGCGAGCCAATCAAAATGCAAGGAACACCGTTCCTGGCTGCCATCTTACCTCCCGTTAACTCCGACGTCACACCAGGAACCACAGCTACCGTGGCCGGATGGGGAAGGCTCAAATACGGTGAGCCCGTACCGACGCTTTTGTCCTTGAAGTACTTTGCCGACGAGTATTTTCATGATCGATAAACAACAATTCAGAGATTACTTGTTTCGTTGGCACTAAGAAAATCTGGTGCATCTAATTTCTTGTAAACTACTTGGAAGAGGAAATCTGAAGATTTGATTCGACCTAAAAGAATCAGTCTTTGACGTTACACTGAGCACAACGTTTTACGTGCTCACGTCATGCTCCGTGTCACATTGCGGTCTGATTTCTTAAGCCTAAGCATATTGTTTTCCTCGTCATTCACGGAGCTTCCTCCGACAATTGCGGCGACTGGCTCTGCAAAGGGCGTTGCGGTATAGTAGACGTAGGTTTCGTGGAGTGTAGAGTGTAGACTCCCTCTTTCATTTCTGAAATCAGTCAAGAAATTATGTTGGAGATGAGTAGTGCAATCCGGCACGATAATACTATGATTCTGATGAGCTTTGTGCTGAGTCTAATTGGTTCGTGAAATGTAATCACGACTTTGAAGGTGTGGTATCCCTCATGAGCCAGTGTTAAATGAATTCTAGAATAAACGATTATCACGAATATAGACCAACTCAACTCTCTGACGTCACGCCGATGCGGTGGTGCTGCTGTCGGCACTGAGCATGCGCAGATGCTTCGCCTCGGGTGAATCTGGTTTCTGCGCGCGCGCAGTGCCTCCACCCGGTGGGCGAACGTAGGGTTGTTTGTAAACAGTGTGTTGGTCGATACTTTGTTTTAGTTTAGGTCCATACGCAGTAAACGCTACGAGCTAATGGAACAAAATCAAGCAGCCTGCAATGCGCAAAACACTGGGTCTTCTCTGTTTATGAATGATTCAGCGATGATACAACACGTACAGGAACACGAGGAAAACAATGACGGTGCGCTTTTGACGCTGGCTGATTCGTCGCATGAACTTAAGGTGAAACAAAGTATAGGTACGTCTTATATTACGACAGTTCGACCATCTGCGTCGCGTTTTAGAGTTTGGGCTTCCTTATGCCGAATGACTGTTGAACGCTATTTTCTGGATAATTGAACTTAAGCCTATGAACAAAAAGAAATGTTTTCCGGGGTGATTTGTTTTGTACGGATTTTATGCTAAACACGATAATGGACGAAGCCTACAATTCCATCACTTTGAGGATAAATTCAAAGAGAGTTTGGGCAGAATCGCGTATAGTCTCTGACGGCATAAGGGTGGTTCGCCTGGCTTATTTTGTTCGGGTATCATGCTTCGTCATTCGCTCTTTTCTGTTTTTCTGGCTATTTCCGCACTCCCTTTTAAGCTGCCACTGACTGCAGTAAACGTTGCGAACACATCGTTCTTCTGTAATGCCGTATGTACTCGACCAATAGCAACGGTAAGTAGAAATAAATCCGCGCGCATATTTTACCGCGGGGCACGCACACAGGAAACCGTCAGGCCATGCTCAAAATTTATAGAAAAAAACAAACAAAAAACGTGTCCGAAAAGAAAAGACCCTAAAAAACTACATTTCGTGATGTTCGGATTTCTGCAGATAGCATTTTCCAGTGAGGACATTATCTCTGTTCCACGAGTCGCTTGTCTCCTTCAATGGATCGCGATGAATGACTGTGCACGTACTCCAGGAAAATGGACGAGCAGTCTTCGTTCCTCAGCACGGCATGTATTGCTCGAGTAATGAATAATATAGCTGGCTAGGTACGCGTCATTTCACCTTTTAGCTGCGCATCACTCTTTGACAAGATATTTCATGACTTGTAAATTTGCACCAAATTCTGTTCACACTGCGACTATGCATCTGAAAATTCCTAACCGAGTATCTGTAGGAGCGATTGTTCTGATAGAGTGATAATAGCTCGGTATGTCAATCTTGAAATTTGTTGTAGTAAGATTAAGTATTATCCGGCTCCAGTGTTATCGGGTCGGCTATGAGATGCCGCACCGTTTTTTTATCGGCTGAAAAGATAACAAACAAATGTAGCTTTTCTGTGTCCCCAGAAGTGTGAAGAGTATACGTGAGAAAAGACATACTTTTAGCTCCACAAAATAACGTAAAGATATCTAAAAGAAATTAGCTAGGGCACCTAACGAGCCATTTTTTCTCGAAGAGAGTTGTGCGTAGCAATTTGACTTTACCGTCTTTATGAAAATATTTACGTACATGTCAAAGAAGAATGGCTTGAAAATAAATTACTCTCTCGCTCATCTCTGCGAATCGAATGACCGCTTAAAACTTTCAATACACCAAATGAAAAACAAAATTTGAAAATATATGCCACTACTTATAATCTGATTGCTTTACTGTATTGCTTTGAAGTGTATATTCAAGAAACCAATATATTTCCGATCGGGCTTTAAAAAGAACCTACTTTTTATTTCACAGGAGGGGCAAAGCCAGATACGCTGCGACAGGTTGATCTTCCTGTGGTGAATAGAACTGAGTGTCAAAAACCTTTGACGCATGTTGTTTATGACGTCATGATCTGTGCCGGCGGCGTCGAAGGCCAGGATGCGTGCATTGTAAGAGCTCTCTAATACATGCATTTCAATGTATCTTAAATAAACAGGTCGCGAGACTTACACGCTGCTGTACAAATAAATATAAACACAAGGAAGTAGATATTTGTATAAACTACGCAAAAAGGGTTAATATCGACGAACGCTTTGTGAGCCCTTGAAGTGAATAGAATTCACGGTAAATATATATCAGTCTAAAAAAGTTCATAAGACAAAATATACTTATTTCGCTAACTATAGGGAAGAACTGAAACGTTAAAGGACACGAATTGCAGAATACTTGTTAATAAAATTAGGTTACGAATACATTAAATTTAAATTTGAACGACGCTAATTAATAGCACTTATATACTGTAATTACGGTTTGGAAGCAAGACTCATGATTTCATTGCAGTGAAGATAATTATATAAAGCAATTTCGTTGCCCAACGTTTAATAATGATAACTCATATCCTGTGAGAGTATTCGAGGGTCCGTAGTTTGATCCTTTACTGTGTGCTTTGTTTGATGTTACATAAGAGGAAAGCGGCCATACCAAGATGCGGAACCATCCCGCTCACTTGGTAAATTAAATATTATAGCCTGCATTTTCTATGAATGAGACAGAGTAGAAGTTTTCAAATGAATTTCTAAACCACGCAACATATCACCAGTGACGTGGCATCATGTATTAATTGGCAAACGACATACTAAACAAATGGGAAGGACTCGAATAGTACCTTTGCTGGCATATTATTCTGGGTACATAACCCGTATGAGAGCTAAGAAGCATTGTGAGTTTGAAAGGTATTAAAACGCTTATCAAGTTTTTGGCGTGATTCGAAGTTGTCGCTTGACATAAACCACATGTGCATGCTACATGGTATGAACTGGCGATGAACGTCACGGTTTCGTCTAAATACCGCCTTCTAAATTTAGCGGGACTCAAGGTTGGTAAATTCGGCCGGCTTGTGAATGCTTTTCATTATGGTCTTTTGTGCAGAGACGATTTGTCACGATATGACGGTTTTAAATATGTCACGCCAAATTTTCTCGGGAATGCCACCTTTTAAACACACATTTAAAAAGGGGGATTCTAAAGAATGTTTTTTTTTTTTTTTAGATTTCATACCTTGAACTAAAGCTACAGCCTATAGCTAGTTTGATGGGCTATAGTGATGTAAATGGAATCTAAAAGAATGTTTGGTGTTTTTTGTCTTAGCTAACTTAGATTTTCAGATGCCCTGGGTTTATTATTCCCAGCATGCTTTCACCAAAACTCAATTTAAAATAAGCTATTAGAAAAACGACAAGTAAAGAAAATGCCAAAAAGAACATTCACATTTTTTTAAGCTTTCCAGTTGCGTGATGCCACATGTCGTGAAACAGGGAAATTGAGCAAGTTGCCTAAAATCGCAGCATGCCTGGAAACCCTTTCGTTTAGTTTGAGTGAGGTTTCTTAGCATTCATTGGTCGCCATCACGCTTCTCACATGCGGTCGCGAACAAGTTCAACGTTCCAAATTACAAAATTTCTCGTCACTGTTTTAGTGTCGCCAGTAAAAGCATTGTAGTTTGAGAAAAACTCAAACGACCAAATCATTATATTCAATAACCTTACCTAAAAAAAAGACATTTGAACATTATATGATTATTAGCGCAGCCGTAATTATTCACGAGTTGAAACATTTTGAGGGAAACCAATGACCGTCCCAATTTTAGCGGAGCTCCGCATAAAATATGGTGTCATATATTCGTAATGCTTATTAAAAATGTAAATGAAATGTGATATTATACTTTTTGTTAAGAGTATATATTGAACGAAAACATTTGTGCGGAGGAACTTATTTTTTTATGACGGTTTTTTCTTTATGACAGCGCATAAATATCCCTTTGCAGGGCGACTCCGGAGGTCCTCTTCTAGTGCAAGCGGGCAACTACAAGGTGGTTGCTGGAGTCGTGTCTTTCGGCAAGAGCTGCGCTCTCAAAGACGTCTACGGAATCTACACGCGCATGGGTTTCTACGGACCCTGGGTGTACAGTAACACGCTCAATGCAGGGTGCAAGCCAGCCTTCAACACCGACGAGGACTACCCAGACGCGGTCAGTGAAACGACCGGTCAGCCCAAGCAGCCAGAAGACATCTCCGATAACAACATTTAGGGGCGTTAAACAAGCGCTTTAAGACCAGGAAGAGGATACCTTTACCGGTGTCAGCACGACGGACGGGCCACGTGTTAATAGTTCGGAGAACTGTTTTCATCTTAAGTATGTTTGTAAATATCTAATCTCATTAAACGAAGGTGAAAAAAAGAACCAGTTCGCAGTCGTGTGAACTGCCATAGCCTGCTCTATACTGACAAAGCGTGGCAGATCGTCACGTGACGCGGCCGGCGAAAGTGAAAGGTAGTGCAGTGGACAAGAGTCATGTAACGGGCACCCCGCTGCGGCGAGACGTCGAAACACGCTTGTCCCGAGCGATGGAATGTTCGCTCGTGCTACTGGCGCTCCTCATTATACCGCTACTTTTCTCGTCGAGTTTGAGAATCATGTTTCGGGTTCTCGCCGCTGCAAAAGCTGTGCGCTGAATACCAGACTCCCCGAGAAATTCTCTGTGCTACCAGGTCCTCGCGCTCCAAGTCTGCGACCGGGCACTCTATGGCTCCGTCATCGAACTGCCAGGCTTTGTGAGTAAAAAGCTGGCTATGGAACTGCTGGAACTGCACGTTTTGGCAACATTTCGTACGATTGAGCGCCCCTAGCCGGTAACCGCGGTAACTGAGAGCACAAGAAGCGCGGAACGTGCCGAGTCGCGAGGCAACTCCGCCTAGAAAGCAAAACCATAGTGCTGACATTTCTTGTGTCACCAGCGTAAGTCATCACTGGGCACAGACTGGGGAAGGAGTGCTGCGTGAGCGCTCGGTTTCAAGTCAAGTTTGAGACGAACGTCGGCGCAACTGTCGTGTCCAAGGTGTGCCCAGCGTTGGTTTTCGCTGACGACGACATCTACAGGGTGACTCAAATAGCGGCAAGATTTTTTTAATCGACGGCAAGAATCGGTGTATTAACTCACCGCAGTACTATTTTGTCCAGCGTGGCCCACAGCTGATGCATTTCTTCTATAAAATTTGCAAAGAGCGAACTTCCTTCAGGAAAAGTAACAAAAGAAAAAGCCTTAACTCCCATGGAAACGCAGCGAGGTCACCGGTCTCTAAACAATAGGGCGCCGTAAAGTGGAGATTTGGGCCAGTTGGTTCATTGCAAGCAAAAAGCGCCGAAAATATACAGGGACACAGACGAAGGGAAACAGGACATGGCGCACTCTCAACCGATGTTTATTGAAAATTCACACGTTATATAACCACAAAAAAAAAACTCTATTCTATCTACTCAGCCCGCGTTTCAAAAATTCAAACTCATTTGTAGATAAGGATACCGACGTGTCACTTATACAATTCTTGTCTCTGGTCCTTATTTCATACGCCTCGTGTAATTCCCGCGACACTTTATCTTTGTACCTAGCCAAAATCTTGGTGTCTTTGAAGGCCGGGGTGCAAGAGCATCTATTGCAATGAATTGCAAGGTGCCCCGAAGGCGTCGTTCTTGTAGAGGCAGCGTGCTCTCGAGTGCGATCATTAACGCACCTGCCCGTCTGGCCCACGTATGTCATCCCACATGTCATGGGGATTCCATAGACGACGCCAGTGGCGCATTCGACGTACTTATTTCGATGTTTGGTAGTGCAGGGATCTGAAGATGGCTGTGGTGAATTGATCTGGCGACAAAGTCGCGCCATCTTATTGAGGCAGAAAGCTTAATCAAAAAGATTAAAGGTAATCGGAAATCAAACAGCGATAGACCGACCACGAGGCCTGTTGTCATTCCATATATGCACAATGTAATGCACAATCTGAAAAAGGTAGCCCAGCGCTACAATGTACCGGTAGCTTTTTCAGCGCCCAATAAGATTGCGCGACTTTGTCGCCAGATCAATTCACCACAGCCATCTTCAGATCCCTGCACTACCAAACATCGAAATAAGTACGTCGAATGCGCCACTGGCGTCGTCTATGAAATCCCCATGACGTGCGGGATGACATACGTGGGCCAGACGGGCAGGTGCTTTAATGATCGCACTCGAGAGCACGCTGCCTCTACAAGAACGACGCCTTCGGGGCACCTTGCAATTCATTGCAATAGATGCTCTTGCACCCCGGCCTTCAATGACACCAAGATTTTGGCTAGGTACAAAGATAAAGCGTAGCGGGAATTACACGAGGCGTATGAAATTAGGACCAGAGACAAGAATTGTATAAGTGACACGTCGGTATCCTTATTTACAAATGAGTGAATTTTTGAAACGCGGGCTGAGTAGGTAGGGTAGAGTATACAGCATTTTGTCATGCTTATACAGCATGACAAAATGCTGTATTAGGGGGAGAGGGGAGAGGAGGTCTTAGCAAAATGGAAAATTTCAGGGGGGGGGGGGGGGTGGCGGGTCCCATGGGCCCCCCCCCCCCCCCCCCTGGCTACGTGCCTGGCTTCTGTCGTTATCTTTACAGATACAAGAAAACTGTCGTTCGCAACTGGTGATCAGTATTCAAAGAATACTACTCATTACGTCACGGTGAGGAAAATTCTGGTCATGACGTGTTGAACGGAAGCCGTAAAGGGACGCCACTGAAACATCTCCGTGCTAATGGGAAACATGTTTTAACAATCCGTACCGTTGATAATGGCTGTTGTGACCAAAAATGGAGTTTGTCATATCGGAGAGCGGTTCTCGATGTTTCTCACTAGCAAAATTGCAGGCTTTAAGAAATGCGATTAAATAGTTACCTATATCTACAGAACACATTACGTTATATTGTTGATAAAGAAAATAGCATCCTCGAAGTTTGAATATCGGATCACGTCTGTTGCAACCACTGGCAATAAAACAAATGTCTTTTTGCGATGGCATTGTTTGTAACTTCAGATCAACAAATAATGTACATTACGTGGCTGACGGTATAGAATTATAATATACTATACACATATGCATGAGAAAAATTGTTCAACAACATAATAAAAAATATGAATAAACAAATAAAAAAAATCTGCTTTAGCATGTGCTAGTGTCTGCCTATGTCGTACAAATGCAATATTAAGAGTGGCTTAGGGAGAGCGGTGGACGATTTCAGTAGTTGCTTTCGGTATCTTTAACGTCGAACGCTGCTCCGAAAAAAGCGTAAAGATTATCTTTCACTTCCGGAAACGAGTCTTGGGTAAAAATCATTGAGTCTGTGTAGTGTGCCAGAAGTGACAGCCTTAGGAGGAATATTCGTTCGACTCCACATGTGATGTAACCTATGGGAGCCGAGGGTGAAAGACGAGGCAGAGGGCGCGTGACAGGCGGCCGGCGGAGAAGTCACGAGCTGGCGCGAGACAGTGCGTGCGGAGCGAGGCTGGTGGCTGGAGAAGGAACGTCGAGGCCAAGCTGGCCTGGCCTGGCTTATGACGAACCCCGGAGCGGTCCACCAGCGAGGTCTGGAGCAAGACCGCTGGAAACGGCGAGCCCGGGCCATATGACCTGGGCTATGACGATCCCGGGGTGGTTCCGCAGCGAGACTCGGGCATTGATAGCCCGGGACAGCCAGCCTACGCAGCGCTGGCGTGGGAAAAGCGATCCGCAGGCCTGGACACTGACCCCGACTGTGAGCTCTGATCGACGGGCGAGAACAAGGGTCGGCGGGCCCGGACTACCGATTCTCGACGACGGGCAACCGGGAGGTACAGTAAACCCATTCGCTGTTTCTCATTGTGTTATGTCACTCTCTAAGCCCGGTCCCACTTAGTAAGAGGGACATTTCTTCGATTTTTTCCCACTTAACTTTAAGGGGGGCGACGGACCTCTTAATATTACATGTTGATACTCCCTCTTAATTAAGTGAGACACCACCCCTCTTAAAGTAAGCGATAAGGCGTCTCCCTTAAATTCGAGGTCAGTCCCACTCAGTAAGAGGGACATTTTTGAGATATTTTCCCCCTTAAATTTAGAGGGACGGTAGCCCTCTTAAAATGCAGGGGTCTATAGTCCCCCTTAATCGATCATTCACACTGGAAGCGGATCCGCGTTCGCAAAGCGGTTGCGAACGCGGTTATATAAAGATCCAGTACAATTGCACGCGCACTCGATGACATCAAGTGCGCGTGCAATTGTACTAGATCTTCATACAACCGCGTTCGCAACCGCTTTGCGAACGCGGATCCGCTTCCAGTGTGAATGAGCGGTAAGTCGGGGTCGCATTGCTTTTACATCATACAAAATACCCTGCGCATACGTGTTCAAAAACGAGTCACCACGACATCCATGCCTCGTACGCCACGAGGCCACCAATCAAGAGCTAGCTTTGTTACATGACATTCGAAGCACGGATGTCGCGGTGACTCGTTTCGGAACATGTCTGCGCAGGGTATTTTGTGTGATGTATAAGCAGTTTGACCGCGGCTTTAGGTTATCTCTTTTATTTTATTGTAGAATTTCTGCTCCTTCGTGTTTTGACTGCCAGCTGACATGCTGCACTGCAGTGATGCAATTCGCGCACTTTCGCTGATATTGTTTAGAAAAAGTTATTCGATGCTGCCTAGCAGAATTGAATATCGATCGGTATATTAAGTTTGATAAACAAAATCAATATGAAAAATAAAACAGTAGCAATCTTTAAAAGTAAACACGTGTTTTATTTGCCATGACACAATACAATATATATAAAAATAGTAATTTTATAACGATGTTCTGGTAGCTTATACAGATAAAAAAGACGTTAGAACGAAGCCAGAAATTGGCGTTTCTTAGGAACTATCACAGAAAAAATTTCCTGCTCCAAAGTGACTCTTTTTGGCTATCTTAAGCAATAACAATGCGACCATGCTGAAATTGCCTTTTTTCAGCGGATAACGCAAAAAATAACACTACACTCTAAAAAAAACAAAAAAGACATCCTGTGCCTCTACTTTTCCATACAACACTTGGAAAGCCAATCACCATTACGCACGGCGGCAGCTCAGCGAATGTCAATGCCCAAACGTATGATTTTAGAAAAAAAAATGCAGCCTGATTTGAGATACTAAGCAATGCAAGCGTGACTTTTTCTATTACGTAATGTCACAACTCAGACTGCGTTTTTTGGTCTAATCATGTTTCGGCATCGTGATTCGCTGAGCTGCTTCCGTGAGTTACGGTGATTGGCTATCCAAGTGTTGTTCGGGAAAGTAGATTCATGGGTTTTTTTAGAGTATAGTTACATTCTTTAGAGCATTTAAATAAATTACGCGGCGTTTCTTGAAATCAGCAGAAGCTCAGAATTTCTGTTGTTTCTGAACTGCCATGAGCAATTTTCTGAGCTTCTCCGACATAGATTGAATCGGAAACTCGTCATTTTGAACGAGCAGACTCTGGAGGAGCCCAAGAGTCTGTCCATATGCCGCAGGGTAGGAGAGTCCCCTTATGTAATAAATGCATAAGCACATGACTAGTGCCTCCTCCAGAGTCGTGCTAGAGGCGAGTTTTATTGACTGATCCCCGAAAACGATCTGTTTTTCCGAGCCGAAGAAAATCTTCGGCCCTGGGACTCCTTCGTCTG